TTAACAGTGCTCCATGCAATGCCAAATATCAAACTGGGGTCATATGCATGCAAAGTATGACTCCTGTGCTATCGATTCGGCCATTACATCTTATTTCTTCATCTACATGTAAATACTCTCAAATTAGGTCTAATTTCTCCAATGGCCACAGAAAAATAAGTCTGTCTCACTCAAGTAATTAATTAATTTATATTCTTTTTGCTGACCGTTGATCCATCATACTGTTCTTGCTTTCTGATCTGTTCTATATTATTCCTGTAACAGTAGGATGTGATATAGAGGGTCAGGCTATTTGACTGTTTTCTTTTATTTAAATCAAGTGTCTTTTCACTATATCACATAGTCACAGAAAGTTAAAAATATGTATATATATATATATAAAATAGGAGGATGATGAGAATTAGGGATGATGATGTTACCGTGCATTTTAAAAATGCACAGTAACAAAGGCCTTAACTAGTAAAAAGATCCCTCTGTCAACAGGACATATCCAAGAGAGGAAGGAAGACATTCACCACTATCACTCTCAGAATATTAACTACATATAGTCACATTCTAGTAGCTATTTTAGGGTATGGGAAGTATCAGGGTACTTTTAATCTCAAACTAACAATAAAACTGGAAGTTTTTGCAAGTTTAGTCACGGAACAGACGACCTTCGTGTAAGTAAATTTAGTTCCTCTTTGCAAAAGCAAGAAGACAGAGTCCAGTCTTTCTGGGACAATGTGTGTGTATATGAGTGAGTTATGAGTATGTGTATGAGTGTATGAGTGAGTTTATATATGTGTTTGAGTGTGTGATTTAGTAACTGTGTGTATAAGTGACTATATGTGAATGAGTGTGTATGTATGTGAGTGTATGAATGTTTGTATGGTGTATGAATGTGTGTGAAAAAATGTGTGTGTGAATAAATATGTTTGTGTGTATGAGTGTGATCTGGTTCCTTTGATCTGAGCCCAGGTAGGATGGAACCTGTTGTGTGATCAGAGGACAAATCTGGTCAAGCTCAAGGTCCCCTTGTGATCTAGCCTCCCAATCTAAGCATCAGCCAGTCTATCCCCTCCCATGAGCTTCCCAAACTCTGGGCACCACTTAGCAAGCTCCAACAGTGTGGTTCTTTAGCTCTTCCCTCAGAATCGATTGTAGACTGTTTTTGAGACTGTTAAGACTGCCCAGCTCCTAAGAAAGTGGCTACAAGTAGGAATATTCTTTGGGACACTGGTAAGTCCCCACTGAATACTCGTGATGCAGCCTTTAAACAAAATGGTTTGTCTGGTGATGTCAACTGTTAAAGTACTATTTGTAGAAAGTCAAGACCCAAGGGGCCTGTGTTAAAAGAAGTAAATCTAAGAATCATTTGTCTCGATGTCAGAGTAATTCAAATGAACTCTTAATTACATACTGCCAAAAGCTCTCTGGTGCCATCCTGCTATCCCTGAGAGCCAGTGACAGTCTATGAGAAGCCAGGTTGTCGGATGAACTCAGGCACCAGAATGCCTGGGATGGAGAGAGGGCACTGGCCAGGAATATGAGTGTGACTGAAGATTCTTAAAAGGAATTAAGATCACTGGAAAATAGACAGCTGCTCTAAACATGATTTAGAATGACTTTACTATGGAATTATCCATTCCAGGAGGACTCAGAAGCCAACCTCCCGTAGGCTATTTCCCTGATAGTATGACAATGCTCAGTCAGTTACCCGATTTGCCCATATATATATATATTATATATAATATATATATGAGGGCATAATATTATGCCCTCAAAGAACCATTATTTATATCAAACCAATACCTCCAACACAGATATGCACACATATGTAATAATACTTTCAGTTTGAACCAGTAACATTTTAGATCCTAAAAGTTTTAGGGAAAAACAAAAACACAAACTATTTCTGAACTATCCCAAGTATATAAGCTCCTAAAACTTGTCTTTGAAAATGTTCAGTTTGACCAATTGGTCCTCAAGATCATTAGGTCTTGAGGTCTCCTTGCCCCATCCCTTATTTACAGTGTATGAACAAGAATTAGTTTGATCTCCCATGTGATAACATTAATTAAGTGTGGGTAAGCTTTATAAAACTAATGGGTTTATTTTCACTCTTTTAAATTATTCTCCCAGTCTCTACCAATATAATGGATGTGAGATTTTTTTGTTTGTTTCTCTAGAGTTATCTAGAATAATATATCACATGTTTAGGTCTCATTGTCTATTTTCAGTTTAAGATCTATGTCATTTTGTTTTAGTTTCTCAAAACTTTTAAAAAATTAGTTCAAAGAGTACAAAAACTATATGTCTATGATAAAAAAAAAAAACCTGTTCATTCTCCTGCTTTGTGCCCTGTGTTATAACAGGAAATGCATTTCTGACACTTTTAAAATGAGCAAACGCACCAATAATCAACGTGGTTAAAACTTCCTTCCTGGTAACTGCAGTACTTCCTCTGCATCTGGATATGAGGGAGACTTAGAAAAGCAGAAGGGTTTAGAGCACATCGGGTAGATTTGAATTATTTTTGCTTTCAAAATTTAAACAAATGATCCTTCAGCATCATCGCCTCCATTACTTTATCAGGTATTGTTTCCCTCTATTTTTTGCCCTTTGTTGAGTCTGACTCAGAATAGTGACACTTCCTTCTTGACTTGGATATTTTTATCTGAACTCCTGTTGGTGCTTGACATGATACTTACCCCAGAATGTTTCTGTTTCATTGTCTAATTCAAACATAGACATGTGAATAGCCACAAAGTTCTGGCAATAGATTTGCAGGTGCACGAGCCATTTTTGTTTGTCTCTTTTAGGAGAAAGAGGGAGATTCCTGGAGTCTGTGTCAGCCAGGCTTTGTGGTCTTACAAGTACACTCTTAGTGATTACTGAGCTTGCCGTGCTTCTATCATCTTGTTGTCAAAGGACAAAGTTTCCTAGCCACAACCAGAAAGGAAAGCAGTGAGTATATAGTCAGTCTGTTTTCTGTTTTCTGTTGTCTGTTTGATATCACTGAGGCAGTATGCATGTGTGTTGCCTAGGTTTGAATCAATTTATTTCAAATAAGTGTCAATATGAATATAGTATATGTGTTATTATTTTTATTCTGTAATGTAGCAAAAGACCAAGTATTAAATGTTTTAAGCTACAAGATAGTTCTTTAGGAATACTGGCTTTATAAGTTTAAGTCAAAATTTGCACAAAAGCTTAGACCTTTGAAACTTATCTTTTAATCAAATTCTTCTTTTACGGTATATGCCATCTGCTCCATTATTCTTAAGAAATTAAGTAGTGAGTTTCATATTAGTCATTGAAGTAAGGAAAATGTGTTTCCTGAAACATTGATATTTGCCTCATTGGATGATTTTTGTCTAGAAGATATCTTATAATGTGATACGCAATTTCCAAATCAAAACAGTGTATTCATGTTTCTACTGAAATATTTTAAATATTTCTATATTATGAGTCTCTAAATATAGTCTAGAAAAACTTAAGTGTTTTGTATGTATTTATATTAAATATTTGTAGAAATTTTTAATGTTATATAGAAATGAAAATATTAAACAATAATCACAAAAAGTAGTTGTATAGTTTACTAGAGTCCAAACAGTAGTAGGTCATTAGAATCCAGGAATCCTGTTTTCTATCCAGTGGCCTTTCTGCTTTATAAAGGAGAGACAGATGGAAAAAATTGATACAACAAAAAATTCACCCAGACGTTCATATTAGGAGAATCCAGGCTTTGAAAACTCTACTGAGATACTACTCTGTGATAACAATGACAGCCAGAACGTTTACATATTTTATGATTCAAAATTTAAAATAGATGCAAATATATATTTTCAGTGTTACCAATTAGAATTCTTTTGAGTTTTATGAATGAAATGACTACCTTTATTAACTAAAAATAAAGTGGCAAGGGGGATTCAAAGAAAGAGAGGAAGTCAAGTTGAGAGTAAATCCCGGGTTTGACTGGTTTAAAAATAGAGACCATGCAACTGGCTGTGTAAAGTGTCTGAGTCCCACAGAGGATGGCGAGACTGAACAATGGGGATGTCAGGCTTTGGCGTTGATTTTTTAAGCATTGCCTATGGCCCCTGTATATCAGGACTTGATTCTTTGAGTGGATGATTTAATTCTGGCTTTCAGTAAACTTAAGAACCACAGTCACCACTTAAGCTATACATAGTAGGCCTTTTGTGTGCTCTCTCTCTCTCTCTCGCTCTCTCTCTCTCTCCACTCCACTTTCTCTCTCCTCTCTCTCTTTTATTTTTGGTTTTGGGCCATGCCCAACAATGCTCAGTGGTAATTCCTAGCTATGTGCTTAGGAATCACTTCCAGTGGTGCATGAGGGTCCATATGGTATTCCAGGGATCAAACCCAGGTAGATTACATGCAAAGAAAGTGCCCTACCTGCTGTACTGTATTTCCAACTCTGACTTTTGCTCCCTTTTTATGAAGGGGAGGTGGTTGGGCCAAACCCATTGATGCTCAGGATTTATTCCTGGTGGTGCTCAGGGACCGTATCTGGTGGTAGTGATAGAACTGAGGTGCAAGGCAAACACTTTAAAGCCTATACTCTATCTCCAGACCAGTCTCTCTTTCTTTTAAGTAAATATTTGAACCTATTGGAAAGTTGAGAAAATGATTCCTGCACCTTTATAACCCCTGCACTGCACTCATACTGACCTGGCCTATGACCTCACTGAATTCGTACCTCCCTTTTCAGGGGTATGATCTGAACCCCATATGACAGATACGAAAAGAGGCGGGTCTGGAGATGCTGTAACTAGCTCAGGTTGCTCAGATTCTAAGAGGAGGGGCCAGGATTCATACGCATTTTGGATATGTGGTGCTATGTATCCATGTATATATAACACCTTATATATAAGGATCTTATTACACACACCCCTTGCATTCCCATGTACATGCAGCCATCCATGTGCTGTTCCTCTTTCTGCAGGGGCATGTAATGGAAGAGTACCTTTCCAGTGACCACCTCCTGTGTTCCCATGCCCCATGGCACAGGGCACAGGGCTGGAGACCCGAGAGCAGCTGTGATTCTGAGAGACGACAGCAGAAAGATGAAACTGCACAGCAAGGTCGCCAGCCTGTCCTCCATGGAGCTCATCCCCATTGAGTTTGTGCTGCCTACCAACCAGCGCCACAGCAAGACCCCTGAGACGACGGTGCTGCAGGTGGCTGGCCACTGCAATGTGGAGAAGATGAAGACTCAGATGTGGCTGCGTGCCCTGGAGACCAGCTCAGAGTCTGACTTCTACCGTAAGCAGGACCCAGCTCATTTCCTGCTGCTCTACCAGAAGGAGGAACAGTGGTACGAGATCTATGACAAGTACCAGGTGGTGCAGACCCTCGACTGTCTGCACTACTGGAAGGCGCTGCCCAAGAGCCCAGGCCAGATCCACGTGGTACAGCGACAGGCACCCTCCAACGAGACACTGGCCTTCCAGCGTCAGCTCACCACTCTCATGGGCTACGATGTCACCGATATCAGCAACGTGCACGATGACGAGCTTGAATTCACACGCCGCCGCCTGGTCACCCCACGACTGGCTGTGGTGGAGGACCGTGATCCCCAGCTCTACGCCATGCACCCCTGGGTGACATCTAAGCCCCTCCCGGACTACCTGAGCAGGAAGATTGTCAATAACTGCATCTTCATCGTCATCCACCGCAGCAACACCAGCCAGACCATCAAGGTGTCAGTTGAGGACACCCCACGCACCATCCTCCAGAGCTTCTTCATCAAGATGGCCAAGAAGAAGTCTCTGTTGGATATCCCCGAGAACCAAAACGAACAGGACTTTGTGTTGAGGGTCTGCGGCCGCGATGAGTACTTGGTAGGCGAGACGCCCATCAAAAACTTCCAGTGGGTGAGACACTGCCTCAAGAATGGGGAGGAGATTCACCTGGTGCTGGACACCCCACCAGATCCAGCCATGGATGAGGTGAAGAAAGAAGAGTGGCCACTGGTAGATGACTGCACAGGTGTTACCGGCTACCATGAGCAGCTGACCATCCAAGGGAAGGACCATGAGAGTGTGTTCACCCTCTCCCTGTGGGACTGCAACCACAAGTTCAGGGTCAAGATCAGAGGCATTGACATTCCCGTCCTGCCCCGCAACACTGACCTCACTGTGTTGGTGGAGGCCAATATCCAGCATGGGCAGCAGGTCCTTTGCCAAAGGAGAACAAGCCCCAAGCCCTTCACAGAGGAGGTGCTATGGAATGTGTGGCTGGAGTTCAACATCAAAATCAAGGACCTACCCAGAGGTGCCCTCCTCAATCTCCAGATCTACTGTGGCAAAGCTCTGGCACTGTCTGGCAAGACATCAGCAGAGACCTCCGGCATTGAGGCCAAGGGCAAATCCCAGCTTCTCTATTATGTGAACCTGCTGCTCATAGACCACCGTTTCCTCCTGCGCCATGGGGAATACGTGCTTCATATGTGGGAGATATCTGGGAAGGCAGAAGACCAGGGGACCTTTAATGCTGACAAGCTCACATCAGCAACCAACCCAGACAAGGAGAATTCAATGTCCATCTCCATTCTTCTGGACAGCTATTGTCATCCAATTGCTTTGCCTAAGCACCAGCCCACTCCAGACCCTGAAGGGGACCGAATCCGAGCAGAAATGCCTAACCAGCTTCGGAAGCAACTGGAGGCCATTATAGCCACTGATCCACTTAACCCTCTCACTGCAGAGGACAAAGAATTGCTCTGGCATTTCAGATATGAAAGTCTGAAGCAACCCAAAGCTTATCCTAAGCTCTTTAGCTCAGTGAAATGGGGACAGCAAGAAATAGTGGCCCAAACATACCAGTTGTTAGCCAGAAGGGAGGTCTGGGATCAAAGTGCTTTGGATGTGGGGTTAACCATGCAACTCCTGGACTGCAACTTCTCAGATGAAAATGTGAGAGCCATTGCAGTTCAGAAACTGGAAACCCTGGAGGATGATGATGTTCTGCATTATCTGCTACAGTTGGTTCAGGTAGGAGATGCTGGGGTTACCCACCCAGCACTCTTGTCAATGTCTTCATTTGCATGTATACAGGCACACATTCAGTTACCAGCAAATACCCTTTGCCATCATAACCAAAGTAGGTCTGATGAGATCACCTCAAAAGTGGTCAACAGTTCCATTTCCTTTTTTTTTAACTGTCATTAGTTGAGGGGTTGCTGACAAGCATTTTAAAGACATTTGGACTGGATTTCGACTATTAAGAGATCTTCACTCTGCGGGTGTACTTTGTCCTCATTATTATATTAATGATGGGTTTGGCATGCCTTGAGCCATGACTCCCAGTGATTTAAGTGTTTTTAATGTGTTCGCCTCATTTAACTCTCCAGCAACTATGATGGAGGTCAAATTAACCTCTGCATTTTACATTTCAGGAAATTGAGGCACTGAGTTAACTGGCTCAGGGTTATACACGTTGAAAGGAGACCACAATGCAAATTCAGGAGCTGTGACTTCAGGCTCTGCTGTTTTCCCTGCCTCCCAACTGTCTACACACATCCAGTGTCACTCTCGTACACTCCAGCAAGTCATGATCTTACTCTCTGGTCTCATTTATCACCATTAAGAGATACTGAGAATTATGAATCTTAGAAATTTGACTCATATCTGGGTGGGAGCTGGAAAACCTGTTCCCTATAGTCAGATCTGATATCGCATTTCCTTGGAATTCATACAGCCTAAGTGATTTCCCTAAGATTTGCTTAGGAATTTAAATAAAAGAGGAACAGTTCCTCCTGCTTACTAGAGCTATTTTTTATTATATGTGCTGCTTGAAAAGAGGAAGTAAAGGAACTGGGAATTGTAAATGCTATTTTTGAACACAGATGTGGTCATTCATTCATTCTATAGCACGTACTGAGTACTTGCTCCTTTCTGAACACCGGTTAGAGAGCAGTGATCCAAACGGAGACTGCCTCTCTCCACTTCTAGCTTGTGATGTCTTGGAAAAAACTTAAATGAACTGATTACACATACAAACAAATATTAAAAACAAATCATGACAGATGCTAGGGGGATGGACTACAAGTATTAGGAGAAAATCAGCTTCCTGGGTATGTTTTACTTAGATTAAATTAGCCATTAAATTGGAGTATGTGGGTTTTGTAACTAAAATCTCCTGACTTTCTTGAGGTCAGGATGGGCTACCTCCCCCCAGCTCCCTGTAATTCCAGAAGCCTTGGCAGTCTCATCCACACTCCAAAGCTGCCACTCAGTTTAAAAGTTACTCTGGCTTTACCTTCCTGATAAAAATACCAAACACCCTGAACAAACATGATGACCTATTGGTTTGTATTGCAAACCATAATGTGCAAAAGGAAAAGGAAAGAGAGAGGAAAAAGAAAACTGCCTGCCATAGAGACAGACTTGGGGGAAGGAGGGTGGGGTATGGTGGGAGGGAAATGAGGGACATTGGTTGTGGGAAAGTACACTGGTGGAGAGATGAGTGTTGAATCATTATATGAGTGAAACCAAATCACTAACAGCTTTGTAATGGTCTATCTCACAGTTATTCAATTAAAAAATTTTTTTAAAAAGTGATGTAGAGTTCATGCCTGCTTCAGTCAGCTTAATCAGTGGCTGGATAAATAGCAGTACTCCTACATTAATAAATAAATAAATAAATACGTTTTTAGCTCTGAGTAGATGATGCTTGACTTGAGATACTTTGGATTAGACAGGATAAGTGTTAGACACTAATTTGTCTGATGATTAGCACTGTAGCACTGTCCTTCCATTGTTCATCAATTTACTTGAGCAGGCACTGGTAACGTCTCCATTGTGAGACTTGCTGTTATTGTTTTTGGCATATCAGATATGCCACGGGGAGCTTGTAAGGCTCTGCTGTGCAGGCAGGATACTCTCGGTAGCTTTCTGGGCTCTCTGAGAGGGAGAGGAATGGAGGAATCGAACCTGGATCGGCCATGTGCAAGGCAAACACCCTACCGGCTGTGCTATCTCTCCATCCCTAATTACCTAGATTAATAGACAGTCCCTGGAGGTTTTTTTTATGAGTTTTTTTTTGGTTATTTGCAACTTTAACTGAGTTTTTAGATACTATCATGCAGAAACTTAAAATATTACAATTGATCTCTACTTTCATTTATGAAATATCCTCATTATTTTTCTCTACCCACAACTTCAGAGACTCACATACTCTAATGAATATTCTAGAATAATCAAAATATCTCCATTTTCTAGCTATCCATTACAAAAAGAATACAAAAGATTTTGCATGGGCTCTGCCCCAAGTCCCAAAGCTCCCATGAATTGTTTTTCATTGCTGTATTATAAACTTTGCTGAAGTGGAAAGTAAATACTGTTCTTCTTGGAAATAGTGTCTTAAATTAAAAAGGTCACTAAGTAATACACATCAACTTTGTGGTTATAAATTTGAAGTAGAGTAGTCATTTGTAAAACTTTTTGTGACATTTTCAGATATGGCTAAATGATTCATTCCTGTTTAAAATCTCCTCCTCTTTGAGTGCAGCATGCTCTTTATAGAAGTGAAACACAAAGAAGGTAAAAAAGATTCACATTTGGAGTTAGGAATTCAAAGTAAATTTCTGAAATGAGTACTGGCAACGAAATAACCACACTCTCAGAATGGAAACCTTAACTACAGCTTACAATGGCAACTATTTGAGATCCATGAAAAAGCATTTAAAAGTATGGATGTAACTGAAATAATATCAACTTAGTATTGATTACTTCTAACCTGGAAAAGCAAGGTTAGCATTGGAAATCTGATTGAAAAGCTCCCAGACCTTAAAAAATGAAGTGCAATTGGAATTTCTATTTTCCTCTGGGGTTATGAGGGTGACAATGTTATATTTACAAAGGAAGCACTCTGAGATATTTAAGTTAAACCTCTTTTTATGCTTGTGTGGGACATTCACCCTATCAGTTTATGTATACATCTAAACAATCTTAGTTTGTTGTTTTTAAAAATTATGCACTATTGCAGACTTAGAGAAAAGTACAGAGAATAGAATAAAAAAAATACCCCAACTTCACATTTTTTTTAAGTTTCACATTTTGTTTTCTTTTATTCAGTCACAGAACTTTCACGTGCATTAGTTCTGTATTAGGCAAGTGAGAGGAAAATGACTAAATTCTACTAAACTTAAAGAAACATTGATAATAACATGCGTTTGGACAAATCTATCTGCACAGCATGAGGGTGACTTCTGGTTAGAGCCAGGCTTGTGGTTTTCTTGTAATAAAGCCTCAGAGGTAGCTCAGAAACTTGCCAGGAGAGGTCAAACACATATCATGACATAAAATGAAAGCTGGGGGCTTGACATCTAGCAAATATTTTTCTCCTTTCATGTATGATGTTTCTCCTGTCCATTTTCCCCAGCCACTTCTCATCTTTTGCTATAATAGACTTGTTCTAGCCATCTCGACCTCTTCCTTATCTCTTCCCTATAAACAACCCTTTTTGCCTTTGAGATGATTCACAGCAAGAGTTTTAGCTCTGACCCTTAAGCAACCAGTTCACTCTGGCCCAACGTGTCTTAGAAAAGAAAGTAGTGAACCAAAGTGATGGGTAAGAAGAGTCTTATCACCCTTGCCACAAAAACCAAAGAAGTCAGAGCTCCACTTTCTCCCATCACCTTTCTGGTGAACAAACATGAAATATACTCCTAAAAATGCCAATGTGTTCTTCCCTTAGGCTGTGAAATTTGAGCCCTACCACGACAGTGCCCTTGCCAGATTTCTGCTGAAGCGCGCATTAAGAGTAAGTACTTCCATTTTGATAATAGTGTGACATGTTAAAAGTTAGAGTTGATGGACTGATAGAGCTACTGGATTAGTGACAGTGATTTCTAACTGTCTTGTTCCTACTCTCAGAATAAGAGAATTGGTCACTTCTTGTTTTGGTTCATGAGAAGTGAGATAGCCCAGTCCCGGCACTATCAGCAGAGGTTTGCTGTTATCCTGGAAGCCTATCTGAGGGGCTGTGGCATGGCCATGCTACATGACTTCACCCGCCAAGTTCAAGTAATTGAGATGTTACAGAAGATCACCATTGACATCAAATCTCTCTCTGCTGAAAAGTATGATGTCAGTTGCCAAGGTACTGGGCTCCATGCTTTCTTGGTTCTCTTTCAATCTGCCATTAACTCCAAATGTCATCATCCCTACGATTCTTTTTCCTTCTGGAAGGCAAGTTGTACCTTCATAAAAGCAGCCATGAACACCTTATTTTTTTACATCTTCTGTCTGCATGGAGTAAGCAAATTTAAAGTTACTCTATTACACGTGAATATATTTTATTTTATGTAAAATTACAATTGTATATATATATAGAGAGAGGGCCACACCCAATGATGCTCAGTAATTAACCCTGGCTCTGTACTCAAAAATTATTCCTGGTGGTGCTCAGGGGACCATATGGGATGCTGGGAATCGAACTCGGGTTGGTCGCATGCAAGGCAAACACACCCTACCTGCTGTGTTATCGCTCCAACCCGAATTTATATATCCTTAATGGTGAATTTATTGTAATATATTTTAAATTTCGGGGGTAAATTGTGATGTAAACCATATTTTTAAAGAATAGTTTTATATATATACACACTAAGATGAGTTATACCTATATTTTCACATTCTTATCTCTATCTTTAAAAATATGTATATAATTTCCAAATTTCCCATTTTTGGTGCCTGTAGGTCTGGGGATATGGATCAATAAAAGATTGGAAGCAACCAATCTCAGCCAAACAGTTCACCAGTTAAGTGCAAGGCCCAAAGATGCAATGCTGCTCAGGTGATACTGGGGGCTTCCAGGACTGAGCCTGGTAATGCTTGGCATGCGCCCTAAGCTCTCTATGATCTCCTGACTCTGAAAGATCTATTTTAAATTTTTCACATAAATTCATATATTATACATATTTCAGAGTATGTCCCCTTAAAAAATTCAATATTGTCTCTTTACCCTACCCTGACAAATTCTATACTGCCTTTGGATAATTAATCTCTCCTCTTCTATCACGGTCCACTATATTCCCATAGGTAAAGGTAAGGTAAAGGTAAAGGCCCTCCCGTTGATCGTCGATTTGCTCGAGCGGGCCCAGTAACGTCTCCATTGGAGACTTTGTTGTTACTGTGTCTGGCATATCGAATACTCTCGATAGCTTGCCGGGCTCTCCTGATCAATACTGAAACTGTAGATCCATCTGATGTAATAAATTACATGAGCTTTAAACAAAAGGAGATACATACATATTCACATGCTCAACATTTTCATTTAACGAGGCCCAAACCTCTGGCTTTTCTAAACAAAAACCTAGTCACTATTTAAAATTTTCAGTATTGTGAATTTCCACGTGGAAATAATAATATTAGGTAATAATAGGTAATAATAATCCTATTTAGTTTTACTTTTATTTAAGAAAGGGAAACAGGGGCTGGAGCAATAGCTCAGCAGGTAGGGCGTTTGCCTTGGACGCGGAAGACCCGAGTTCAATTCCAGCGTCCCATATGGTCCCCTGAGCACTGCCAGTGGTAATTCCTGAGTGCAGAGCCAGGAGTAACCCCTATGCATTGCCAGGTGTGACCCAAAAAAGCCAAAAAAGTGGGGGGGAAAACAATTGTACCGACCTCCAGTCTATAATTCAGGTATTAATTTTGAATTTAAGTATTTTTGCCTTTAAGATCTTAAGACTGTCATATCATCTCCATGCAATCTATCTTCCTCTTTTGAAAGGAATTTGCAGAAGTGTAAATGAATTTCTTTTAATATGGCCGTCAAGGTCTGTTCTTCAAATTAGATGGCAGGTCTTAGTTCCATATGTTAGAAAGAAAACTAAAATATTAATTAATTACTCTCAAAAATGCCCTCTTTACCTGATTATCTTGGTATTCTATGCATTTTAATGAACATATTAATGCATATTATAGTATATGTACATGCTCAGATTTGAAAAGTTAATTCTTCAAAAAACAGAAACCTACCCCTTATTCTCCTATTCCACAACATATCAAATATACAGAATGTTATGAAGCTATGACCTTAAGAACTGCCTTAAATAGTATTGATAGTTTTTTAAACTCATATTTTCTTAAACTCATATTTTTATTTATGTTTTTGATATTTACAGTTATTTCCCAACTTAAGCAAAAGCTTGAAAATTTAAAGGATTCTAATCTCCCCCAAAGCTTTAGAGTTCCATATGACCCAGGACTAAGAGCTGGAGCCCTGGTGGTAAGTCTTCACCTGGTCTGTATGCCATGGCAATGTCTCTATTTGTTCTGTGGGCCCAAGAGATAAGAGACAGGGATGCTGCAACGAGCTGTGGTTAAACCCTTCTCTGAACACTAGGTATGCAGAGCCACAAGGCCAGGCAGAAGCCATCACTTTTTATTCAATGTCAAATCAAATCCAAAGCCTCATATATGCAAGACATAGACTCTACCATTAAGGTACCCAGCCCATTCATTTATTTTACATCAGTTTTCCTGAGGAATCATTTACATACTACAAACTGTCCATTTTTTGTACAGCTAAGTAAATTTTGACACATAAATATATGATAATATAGAATATATGTCCAGAAAAATGGTCTAGAAAATGTTTCTCTGTTCCTTTTCTCTTAGCCTTCACCTTTATCCAGCCCCCTCCCCTACTCCCTACCCATCGCAGACCACAGGTTCTGTGGTCATTTCACTATTTGGGTATTCGTCGTTGCTTTACTCTGTAGTCTATATAGTTCATGTGACCAACTTGCATTACTTTTTAAAAAATTTGGGGTCATACCTGGCAGTGCTCAGAGCATATTCCTGGTTCAGATCAGAGATCTGATCAGAGATCATTCCTGGAAGGCTGTGGAGACCAAATATGGGTTGGCCCTGTGCAAAGCAAGTGCTGTACTATCTCTTGGTCCCAACGGGCATTATTGTCCTTCAACTTCCAGTACTTTTTATATAGTGTAAGTCTTCTGATAATTCTTTCATCTTTCTGAGGGAAATAAGGGCTTTTGGACCACACTCAGGGGAACCATAAGAGATGCCATGTAATCAAACCAAATGCAATGCAAGCACCTTAACCCCTATCCTACCTTTCCAGCCCTTCATCTTTTATTTATCTGAATAATTCTTTATTTTAACTATGTGCTTATAGATATTTTCTCTGGGTATAGAAATATGAGTTGACTGGATTTTGCGCTCTCAGCAGCATTTATTATGACTAGCATATTTTTGATAATTCTCCTAAACATTCTTATTTTTAATTTCTGTACATTATATGTGTTTACCTGAATTTGCTTTCTGGCTTTTTGGGCCACACTTGTTGGTACTCAGGGGTTACTCCTGGCTCTGCACTCAGGAATTGCTCCTGGTTGTGCACAAGGGACAACAGGTCGACTGTGTGCAAGGCAAACCACCTACCCGCTGTACTATGGCTCCAACCCCAATTATCTTATTTTTAAATAGAGGCTATACTCTATTGGTCCTGGAAATGGGGGTAGCAAAGAGCATGACCAGCTATGATTACTGAGGTGGTACAGGCCTGATGTTTCAATGCTTGGTACCAGCAATGTTCAGTAGCCACCAGGTTATACTCAACAATGTTTTAGGGAAACCATGGGTTGGGAGGGATTGAACTCAGGGCCATGCACATACTTAGAATGTGTTTATCACTTGAGCTATTTCTATAACCTCTTGTAACTATTAATGTTACTGTTACTGTCCTCCTGTTGCTCCTCCATTTGCTCAAGCACATCTCCATTGTGAGACTTGTTACTGTGTTTGGTATATTTGTAACTATAATTTTATCAAATTGGAAAAATTTTAGCCAGTTAATTTATTGGCATGTTAACTAATATTAACATTATATTAACTTCAGATGCACAATATAATCTTTTGATATTTATATATGGTGCAACATAATCACAGTAAGTTTAGTTATCGGGTGTCATGATAGAAAATCACCTTTTTTAATGAAGGGAACTTTCAATATCTATTTCTTATCAGATTTCAAACATGCAATAAAATATTATTGACTACCGGTACCATACTGTACATTATACACTGATGACTTATTTATTACTGGATGTTGGTACTTTTGATCACTGCCACCCATTTTATCCATTATCTAAGACCTCTCCCACCCTTGCAACTTGGGATACCACCAATCTGTTCTCTTATATTATCTTTTAGATTCCACACACAGAAATGGGAAACATTTCACAAATGTTTATGTCATCCTTGCATGGGGTCATGCTAATCTTCTCTGTATTGTTTCAAGCTATGTGCTATCTAAGGGAGCACTCAGACTATATTTCTTCTGTCTCCTCTTCTCACCTCTCATTCTGGAATTTCAGTTAAGTGCATTGTAAGCCTCTAGACCTTGGGTTCTCTCCGGAGTGTCTTTTTCTGTGCTGTAGCTTAGAAATTGCCCCAGGAAGAAAAGTGGGAGAAGCAATTACAAGGCTCACCTCATTTGACCCCATCTTTCCAGAGTCATCATCCTACTTTGTCTGTTATCAAGTATCTGATTTTTTCCAATATTTCACTCAGTTTCTAGTTGTTTCCAGTTGGACAAGAACTTCTGCTACGGCATTTTGTATTTTATAAACAATTATTAATAAATTGGCTCTATACCAAAATCAAACATGATCCACTACTTCAGTTATAGAATGGTAGGATTCATGACATATTGATACAGCTTCAGAAATGTATTTATTTTTATAAAGACCACATCTCATTTTTGATCCCGGTGAAATCACTTTTAGCTAAAACTCCAAAGTTTGAGTTTTTGAAATTGCCCCTTAAATGTTCCAACTACAACTTAAACAAATATTGATCATGTATAATAATATCATATGTTTATCAGCTCACTTCTGAAGTGGGTGGCTACTCAGTCACCTTTCCCCAATCTTGAACTTTCTATGTCCTGGGATATGTTTAGTAAGAGAAGACACTGCACCAAAGTGTTAGATTTCTACTTATTACCATTAAATGTTATCTTAGGCTTGGCTTATGGTCTATGATACACAGTGGTAGAAGTAGTACTCTAATTTATAATTAAATCTCAGGGGAGTGGCTAAATATATAAACAGAAAACAGAATAATATATTAAAATATATAAATGTATAAATAAAAAAGAAGTCATACTGCTTCATCACAGTGGGTAGGGCGTTTGCCTTGCATGCAGCCAACCCAGAGTATCCTGCCCGCTCAGCAGAGCCTGGCGAGCTTCCTGTGGTGTATTTGATATGCCAAAAACAGGAACAACAAGTTACAATGGAGACGTTACTGGTGCCCACTCAAGCAAATTGATGAACAATGGAAGGACAGTGTTACAGTGATACTGCTTCATGATTAAGGGAACATTGGAGCACTAGAGTTCCAGAAGAGCAGTAGATGGGGCCTGCTACAGCCCTACAGCATTGCCACTGACTCTCAGCGCCTCTAGAACACAGTGTGAGAAGCCCGGGTTTAAGTACTGTAAATTTCTCTCATAAAACATTTTCAAAAGGGACAAGAATGCTTCCTATATATTTACCCAAATGGATATTTATACTAGGGATTTGCCAAAGGATTTTAGTTCCCGATGTGTACACATTGTATTTAGGCTATTATATGACTATTCCTTTACAGGTTGAGAAGTGCAAAGTGATGGCTTCAAAAAAGAAGCCTCTGTGGCTGGAGTTTAAATGTGCAGACCCCACAGCCCGATCAAACGAAACTATTGGAATTATCTTTAAACATGGGGATGATCTCCGCCAAGACATGCTGATTTTGCAAGTATGCTTCTGATAAGGACTTTTCCCCAACTATCTGAGAAAATATTTCTGTATATGATGTATGTTATTTTTAAGACTGTTTTCTGCTGTTTCTAGTCCAATTTCTCTGCTTGACAGTGATCAAAGATTATACAATAGTTTTTCTGAGAGAATATGTATGATCATTACTAGATCACTATTACACAATCCAGTAAGCATCACAGTTCTGCCAATTTCTGAGAATATACATGTCCAGCATTCTCAAATTGCTCAATCTACTTCCTTCACTCATGTTCTTTTTCTACAACCCACTCTTGGTATGGTAACTTAAAATAGAGATAGCATAGAATATTAGAGACACTAGTATTACTAGTATTACTATTACTAGTAATATCCCTAGAGACACTTTATCCCTATTCATAGGTAAATGAATTCATACATATGAGATTTTCTTCTTAAATGCATGTGCCACAAGCACAAACCCAAGTGAAAAATTAGATAAGAAGGGAAGAGCAGATGAGCAAATAAGTGATAGAAGAATAATGTAGTTAAGTGACCACTGTGAAAGTTTTACTAAAGTGGAATGAGAAGGGGAAGGTATCAACGCTAATCACATTCATAAAATCTGGCAACACTGCATTAATTCTAAATTCAAGAAACATAATGGAATACTCGCCATATTCTAGTGGTTTCACATTGTTGAGGTAACATCATTTCTAATATTTAATCAGAGTTATTTCAAGTAGGCAAACCATGATATTAGTGTAGTCTGTTTAAAAACTTACCCTCTTTTATTTTATTTATTTATTTATTTTTTAATTTTTATTAGTGGAACACCATGAGGTACACTTGTAGATTTACAAATTTTTGTGCTTGGGTTTCAATTATACAATGATCAAGTACCCATCCCTCCACCAGTGCCCATTTTTCACCACCATGGATCCCAGTATCCCTCCCACACCCATCCCCCCATCCCACCCTGCCTCTGTGGCAGCTTACCCTCTTTTTAAATCCCATGCTTTTTTTTCTTTTGTTTCTAATGTGGAAACAATAACTATTGTCTTGCTTTCTTTTCAAGAATGGTATATGCATTGTTTTGAAAGTGTTCTTTAAGGGGAAAAAAGGAAATCCTGCAAGCATATTGAAAATGTATTAAATTTCATTTACATCCATAGAATCTTTTGTATTACTCTTGGTAAACTGTTCGCCCTTTTATTTTGATGGAAGTTTTCCACTTTCCGTTTTATATACTGCTTTGTTTTGTTGCTGAGGCATATAATTTGTTAGGCAAGGTCAAGTTATTTAAGTTCAATTTAAACCTCAGTCTCTTCACTCTTTGAATGAGAATAGCAATCATATCCATACTAGAGGGTTAATACAATTCACATGGTAAACATAGCTATCATCAGCTGTTATGGTTTCTTTGATTATAGCTGAGTGCCTTGAAGAATTTTTGAGAGGAAAGTTTTTTTAATCACAAAGGTAAAATAAATGTAAGTAGAAAGGAATATTTGAATAAATGAAACTTGTCTAAAATTACCCCCAAAGTAATTTTCTGCCTTTTATCTTTATCTCAGGGATCAAAATTAAGAGACTCTCTAGAAAGAAAAGCTTTAAAATACACAGTTAATAAAAGTAGTTGTTAATTACATATTTTATATTTTTATTTTATATTATTCTTTAATATTTAATTCATTTTATAAATTATGTATTTTATATTTTAAATGATGTTTTCTTGGGAAGAATACATGGTATCATACAAACATTCATCTCTGGTAACATTTTTTTGTGTTTGATGCTTAGATTCTACGAATCATGGAGTCCATTTGGGAGAAAGAATCTTTGGATCTGTGCCTCTTGCCATATGGCTGTATTTCAACTGGTGACAAAATAGGTATGTGGTTACCTCAGGAGATGAATATAGCACTCAGCTTGCTATAAAAGATCATAATTCCTTCTGTGTAGGCACTTAGTAACTGGAAAATTGTCACCATAAGCCATATAGAAAGGAAGAAAATGTTCCAAGCCTGCTGAATGTGATTCTCCATTTAATATGGTTGTATTGAAAACACATGAATGCTCAATTCAAATCCTTGTGACTATACATGGAAGTGATTTTAGTAAGAAATTGTTCCCGCCTCTACTTCTCCAGCTCTTAACTCTAACTCCTTTCATTGCACATTAAATTTCTTTCTCACAAGTAACATTTAAAAATAGAGAGATCTGTCACTTATTTTAATATCCCAGAACTCACATTATCAAAGCTATTACTCTAATCTTAGGTGCTTTTATAGACACTTAACATTTAGTTTCAATCAAACATTTTTGTTCCATTTCCTATTTGAAAACTGTACAAAACCATTTCCATGTGACCCTGCAATTAAAAAAGGAAAAGGTATAGGTTGCCAAGAGAAGAAGGATGTGCTCAGCACGTATATGCTTTTAAGAATAACCTTTAAAACCCACCCTTTCCTCTTTTCCTTTGTGGACACTGAAACCATAGTCCCACATCACTTCCACACTCCACATCTCCTCTTACTTTCCTTCCAAAGAAAAACCAACAGCACGAACCTTGAAAATGGGTGGATGAAGCCCTCTGCCTTCCAGCTACAAAAACATAGCCAGTTCCTCCTCCAGGGCCCTACGTAGCCCATCTTTGTTTTAAACACTGTGCTTCCTCTTGTAGGAATGATAGAGATAGTGAAAGATGCCACAACAATTGCCAAGATCCAGCAAAGCACGGTGGGCAACACAGGTGCATTTAAAGATGAAGTCTTGCATCACTGGCTCAAAGAAAAATGTCCCCTTGAAGAAAAGGTGAGCTCCTGCTTTTTTGCCCAGAAGCTCCAAAGTTTTCATTTACATAACAAGAGTGGTTGCACTTTTTCCTAAAGGCTCTCCGCAGGGGAGTTCCTTACTTCTGAGACTGTCAAAGGAGGTGGGTGGGTTCTGCAGGCTTACCCATGGTGCTCTGTAAAACCCAAGTGTTCAGAAGTTCAGGACCCTTGGCTTCTATTTTGAGTATCAAGCATGCTCTGAGTAATATTGGGTTTCATGCAAAAATAATTTGTTAGCACTTTCTATGTCTGTTTTTGTTGTTCAGGAGGAAAACCATAAACTGTATACATTTATAATTTACCACAGCACTCTAATCTAAATGGTAAATTATAGATACTTAAAATGTCCCACCATTCCTCTGAAGTACATATGCTGAAGCCATCACAAGCTGTGTCATTAGATGGCTTTGATTTTTCTACATGTCTCATTTGCATAGTTAGCAATCTTTGTGTGGGGGGGTGGTAAGTGTAATTTGTAGAAGTTATTAGTCTGTTATACCGAAACTATCTGAACTCACGCACACTTGAATTGGTCACAAGCAAAACATAATGTTCGCTGAAGGAAGAGGAATTACGAATCCGATACAGTTTTTAGTAAATGAAGCTAGAAGAGGAAGTGAGTCCTTTAATTACTGTTGCATTTTTACTCTTGTCTGTACCTTGTGCTACTGTAATTTATTGATTTTTGACCTAAATATTAATAGATCTATGAGAAACTTGACCTTTGATAGAACAGTCATGAAATCATGCAGAACTCTTGAAATAATTCCCAAATAAATACTGTCAAGTTGGGTAGCACTGTAGCACTGTCCTCCTGTTGTTCATCTATTTGCTTGAGCGGGCACCAGTAACGTTTTCATTGTGTTGTTACTGTTTTTGGCATATCGAATACGCCACAGGGATCTTGCCAGGCTCTGCCGTGTGGCAGGATACTCTCTGTAGCTTGCCAGGCTCTCTGAGAGGGAGCGGGCTCCATCATTAATAATAGATTTATGCTGCTCTTTGTAGTTAGAACACAAGGAATATTCAGATGCATTTTGATTAGTTTCAGGCGGCTGTGGAGAGGTTTGTCTATTCCTGTGCTGGCTACTGTGTGGCAACCTTTGTTCTTGGAATAGGTGACAGACACAATGACAATATTATGATCACAGAGACAGGTGAGTTTATTGTATTGGGGTTCTTTTGTTATAACTGTGGTAAAATAGACATAGCATAAAATTTACCATTTTGACATTTATTTTTTGGGGGGGGGCCACATCCATGCTTAGGGATCACTCCTGGTAGTGTTTTAGTGACAATATGGGGTACTGGAAATTGAACATGGGTCAGCCACAGGTGCAAGGAATGTGTGTTACCCACTATACTTCACTCCTTCCCATTTATAGCCATTTTTAATTGAAATATTTAGTGGCATTAAGTCTATCCACATGGTTAAATAATCACTGCTATATCCGGAATATATTTTCATCTTCCATAACTAATACAGTGTACCCATAGAACACTAATTTCTCATTCCCTCTATTTACCTTCACAGTAAGTTTTTGAATGAAGTTCAGATATATGGAGCATATATTTTAATGTCATTATCATTTAGGGAGTCATGTTGTGATTAACCTAGAAAGAATGCAGGAGTGGGGAAGAGATGGTGCAAGAAATGAGCTTGGAAGAGCCATGCAATTCTCAAAGGACTGCAGTACAAGCTAAGCGTGCAGGAGCCCCAGGTTCAATCCCTGCCACTGCATGTTCCCTAATCACTGATGAATGTGATCCCCCCACCAAAAAAAAAACCAAATAAACAGGTAAATAAATGAGATCTAAGGAGAAAAAGGTCATAGAGTGGCTAGAACTAAGATCGTATTTTAGAAACAAGCAAAGGTGGCCATGATTAAGTGCTGAATATTGCAAAAACCAATTGAAAACTTCCAGATATCTTTAAATCTGAAATGTTCTATTAATCGAAAAGTTGAGTCCAGGAAAAGCACCATATTGGGATAAATGGCCTACTTTCTCTGAGAGTCAAATGAGATCCTATGTTTACGGGCATCTGGTATCACACTGTATGAAAGAAAAGAGATGGTGATAATTGTGGTGGTGGCGACAATGGTAAAAACTGACCCAGAGGAGAATCAAAATGATTGAATTCTGTCAGATTATCTAAAAGCAAAAGGTAGAATGCCTCTCCCATAAGTGAAGTGAAATGTCAGTCTATTCAGAGTGTACAAGGAGCTAAGAGTCTTGAGCCTGATGATGACATATCAGATGACATATTAGACATACTCTAATATGTCATCATCAGGGAGTTTTGATTTAATATTTCAAAGAATAATTGTGAGACTAGAATATTTTAATGTACTATAACTGGCATTTAAAGAACACCGGAAGTACAGAAAAAAACACAAACACACACACACACACACACACACATGCTGGGTTCAAAGAGTACTTTGAGGTTACTACTACACACACCTGCTAAGAACAAAAATAGCATATGCTGACAAAAACAGAGAGGGGAAAAAATATCCCTCGTTTAAGATTTCTCATTTTCAGACAACTTTAAAAACCTTTTAAGAAATAAACATAGCAGGATTGTTAGGCTCACTGGGGCCAAGTATAATGAATGATGTCCGGCATTTTCTTCTCTTCAAGGAAATCTATTCCACATTGACTTTGGGCACATACTTGGGAATTACAAAAGTTTCCTGGGCATTAATAAAGAGAGAGTGCCATTTGTGCTCACACCGGACTTCCTATTTGTGATGGGAACTTCTGGAAAGAAAACGAGCCCCCACTTTCAGAAATTTCAGGTAAGCAGCTTTCCTCCCTCTTAATTGCTGCCTGCTAAGATCAACTAGCTCATGCTTGCAGCTCACCACAGCCCTAATTTTCTTCTCTGATTGACTCCTCGGGTCTCCTCCTGCTCTCTTCTGGCTCGCTGCCCCCTGCTCTGCCCTTCCTTCCCTCCTCAAGTGCACAAAAAAGCGTTTCTCAGTAATCCTCCCACCTACAATTAGCAGCCAATGAATGTCTTCCACATTTCTTGTGACTGAAAGACATTGAACACCAGCCTGACATCACCACTGAAGAGAGGGCTCTAAGGGGGAGCTCATAAACTGGCAAGTATGTTTAGACTTTGACTATATAGCTACCTGGCTTAGAAGGTGCCAATGTTACAGATCTTTTTCAGGACTCTCGTACTTAGGGGATCATCCCTTGAGTTTTACAACAGGTATGTTTTCATCAAACCACTAACAAGGGCAGTTCTTGTTACATCATTGTATGTTCATCTCAGGTCTAGAGAGGGCAGTCCCTTCTCTCCTTGGAAATGTCACCAATCTAATGCAGGCCCCACCTGGCTATGTTTGTCCTGTTTACCTGACAACAAGCTCCTGCAGGGATCTAGCCATCTTCCGGAAACTTCCCATTCCACTCTCTTTTTCTTTCTTTCTCGTCTACACTCACTTTTAACAATCAAATCATTTAAATGTTTAAGGAACAAATGTTCACACATGAAAATGTAATGATTGCAAATGCATACAATTCCTACACGTTGCCATGCCGACTATACTGCACTCATTTGCTAGCAGTGTGTGTGGTGAACAGCTGGGCAGGGACCTGAATTGTGCCCAGATAAACATTGGTCTTAGATTCCCATGAAATGGTCCCTCTCCTAGTGCTGTTACATGGCATTTGGTTTACTCCCATCATTTCAAGAACCAAGCTTTTCCTGAGTCACGGTGATCTTTGGGAGATGACACCAGTCTCAAGTTGAGTGAAACTGGAACTAGGGGGTACCAGTTCTGAAACCCATGTGTTCATGTTTGTGCTCCAGGCCAGTTTTCTGTGTGGGGATGGCAGGACTTAACCCTCTCTGACAGTATGTCAGAGAAACTGAGATCTCTGTAACCCAGATGGTCTTGGGCTTTTTAGTGTGTTTTTCTCGGTATAATCATCTGGCTCTCATACTATTTCCAGGGATTTGACATGTTTAGGTCCTGTTTTCTTTAAAATTAGAAATCACATGTTTTGACAACATCGTAAAAGAAAAATATTTATTTTCTAAAAATAATAATATTACTATTTAAGAAAGGAGTATGACCATTACAAAAGGGGACAATACTCAAATATTTGTCTCCCCTAAAGGTGAGGCTTGTCTGACTAGCTTCAGACAAACATTATCTATAGCCCTTTAAAGAACACACTTAAAGAATTTGACAGGCACCTCATTGACAGTCACCCTGTGTTGCTGTGTAAATAGATTCTTTCTGTTGCCAGTCATCCCACCCCACCCCCGAGATTGACAGCCATCTTCCTGTTGCTGGCATTTCACTGAGTTCCCACAGTGCTCACACCAGCATTAAAATCCCAACAGGACTGTCCCTTTAGCCTTATTCATGGTGATGATAGTGGTGATAAGGTGTCAAAATCGTCTTTCATGAAAAAATTTGGTGTATGGGGGTGCTAAACTAGGTGACCCTCCTCTTCCAGACAACTTCTAGTCAAACCAATGGAACCTTTACAGTGAGCCTTGAACAATCTAGCTTGCAAATCTGGACTCCTTTTTCTATCCTTTGTGACAGAAGCTAATGCAATCACTAGGTAGCATAGCGCACTAAAATACCTTAATGCATTTCATTGTATGTATATGTAAAGGTAAAGGTAAAGGCCCTCCTGTTGTTCATCGATTTGCTCGAGTGGGCCCAGTAACATTGTGAGACTTGTTACTGTGTTTGGCATATCGAATATGTCACGGGCAGCTTGCCAGGCTTTGCCGTGCAGGCGAGATACTCTTAGTAGCTTGCCAGGCTCTCGGAGAGGGGCGGAGGAATCGAACTCGGGTCGGCCATGTTGGCTGCATGCAAGGCAAATACCCCACCCACTGAATACACATACATATATGAGTACCAACTCAGATTATGTAAGTGCTTGTGAATTAAACACACATGCAGTATGGTTATGGTTGAGAGGATGAGCTTTGGAGCAAACAAACGAGTTTAAGCTCTAGCCCTGTTACTAAATAGGTGTGTGTGTGTGTGTGTGTGTGTGTGTGTGTGTGTGTGTGTGTGAGAGAGAGAGAGAGAGAGAGAGGAAGAGAGAGAAATGTAGATCATTTACCCTTTCAAAACTTCTCTTTCAATTCAGAAGGGGGGATATTAAGACCTATATCGTGTATTTATAAGCAGTTCTTACCTAAACCACAAAGAAACTCAATAACCAGTCACTACCCCAGTTAGATATATCCACTACAGGGCTTCAAACTTTGAAAGCTTTTAGGCTGAGAAGCCTTTCTAAAAGAGCTCTTGGACCAAACTGTCATTTCTACAATAGGACAATGCAGCCCTATTTGGGTTAAAGAGGATCTGACTGGCCCGGCCTTTCCCTTACTGAAAGCAGGGTGAGAGACAAGCAGAGAGGCTGGCTATGCATATGGAGAACCTCTGAAATTTCCAACTCACCAAGAACAAGCAGAAGTTTTTCACCACTTGACTCAGACCTTGTGACAGTTTTTATTTTTACGCACTACTAAGCCTTCCAGAAAGATGTTCTGTTTCTTAGTTTCATGTTCCCTTTTTGAGTTAAGTCCTTCAGGACCAGGCAGTCTCTGCACTCTCTAAATAGAAACTCTTGTATAATAAAGCTGCCATTTTTGGGTAAGCTGGAATATGTTGTATATATTTACATTCTGAATGAAAGGTGTCCTCATCTCCAAGGAGCACTAATTCAGAGTTGATAAGGTTAACAAATGCAGGTTTTTTATTTAAATAGCCTGTTAGAAAGGGTGAAGAAAAAATTAGCCTGCTTTTTGTTGAGCATGAGTAGGCTTTCTCCACAAAGACCTACAAATGTCCCTCACTGGTGTCCAGGGGACAGGGAGGAAAGGAAATGGAGAGAGGAAGCACTGCTTTGTCCCACCTCTCTCTTCTTCCCAAGGTCACTAGTTTGGCTAGGGTCATTTTCGCAAATAACTCCCTAGACCTAGACAAAGAGGGAGTTTAGGAACAAGCTGTAATTATGAGAATACAAGAAAACAAGGTCCACTACTTGGACCCAAGACTGTGTTAGCTTTTGGAGCAGAAGGCTACACTCAAGGTGTACAGCGGATATTTTACAATGAGATCTTAAGAAATTCTCCTTGGAAAAATCTCTTCCTACCTGAAGAGATCAAAAAGCAACATCTTCAACACTGGAAATTTATTTTGCAACTAGTTTATTTTAAAGTTCCCCAAACAATAACAGACATATAACAACAGATACAAATACATGGTCAAAGGAAATCTGACTTCCCACAACTTCTCTAGCTTGCCAGTTTCTAATTCTTGTTCAGAAACATAAGGGTTCCCTTTCCTCATTTTAAATATGGTAGATAGGAGGCTAGAGAGAGAGAGTACAGTGGTTTAGGCACTTGCCTTGCACACAGTTGACCCACGTTTGTATCCCCAGTATGAAACATGGGCTCTGAATACTGCCAGGAGTGAACCCTAAACACAGAACGAAGAGTAGTATCTGAACACAGCTGATAGTAGACCAAAAACTCTAGAAAAAAATCTATAAGATGCATTGTTTTTAGAAAAAGCAACAAATAATAGCAATAGGGTTTCAACCAATTATCCTCTAGTCCAAAAACAGTACTGTCAATATTTTGTGTTTTTCCTTCATTTTATTAAAAAATTGCATCCTTAGGTAGTTATAGGTTAATCAGAATTTGGCTAAGAACTGACTTTAAGTAAACAGATATGATGATGTTTTTTTCCCTTACTTTAAAACTATACAGGGGCTCCTTATCTAATTTTGAACTGAGTCTAAATAATGAAATTTTGCTACAGGGAGCAGTGAGCCATCCCTGGTGGTAGTTATGGTCCAGTAACATATAAGGCTGTGAACCTAAAATACTCATATTGACTCTATTGTAAATCATGACCCCACAATTAAAAATTAAAGGGTGAGAGTCAAGACAGGTCCCAGAGCGGCCCCTCCCAGGTCAGGATTCCAACCGTCCCCAGCTCTCTCCCCACATTCTCACCTTTGATCTCTGTGACTTCCGTGTCTCCATCCTCCCAGCTGCTCCACTACTTCCGCCTTTTCCCCCACAGTGCTCTTGGCCACCTGCAGGTCACAGCTTCCATGTCCTTCCTCATCACAGTTTCCCCCTCCTGCCATCGCTGGTTACAGCCCCAGATCTCAAAGCATGACAGTCCCTCTGTTCCTCTCTCTCAAGATGTGAGCACTGCTGTGCTACTGGCTTCATGTGGTCCCATCTCTCCCTTAAGGCCTGCACCCTCATAAGCATTTGCTGGGTATCAGCAGAGGGGAAGAGTGAATGTGGAAGGGCTATTCTCATGGTGTTCGGAAGACGTTGGATGAGACCCCCCCAAACCTCTCGAGTTCTCGTCGTGGTATTATGAGTTTCTACATTCCTGATGCAGGCACAGACTGACATGGACGTTAATAAACCTCCAAGATGCCAGTCAATCCCCACACATTGGTAGAACGGGGACACCCAAAGTATGAAATCAAAAGTTTTACTTAATAGGCAAATGGGCAGGGGGCCATGAGGTGCCTAGGAACATTTTCATGGTGATTTCCTGGCAGAACATGGGAACAGCCACTTGCAAGGCAAGCATCTACCCACCATTCTATCACTCCGCAAGCTACCGAGAGTATCTCGCCTGCATGGCAGAGCCTGGCAAGCTACCTGTGACATACTCGATATGCCAAACACAGTAACAACAAGTCTCATGATGGAGACGTTACTGGGCCCACTCGAGCAAATCAACGAACAACGGGAGGACCTTGACCGTTCCTGGTA